CGCGAAGCGGTTGTCCGCTTGATCCGCTTCATCCACTTCAACTATTGGTCAGTTTTTTAAATTGACCGATGGTGAAGCGGATCAAGCGGATCAAGTGGATTGAGCGGACCAAGTATTATAATGCATATAATAACATAAGAAAGGTATCAAAATATTTTGGGCCTGGGAAGAGGGTACGACTAAATTCGCAAAAACACAAGGTTTGATCAAGTTTGACCACATTTTCTATAAGTTATCTGAGTTTTCATATTTTTTATTTCACTACCTAAAATCGCACCATGAATCTTTTTCAAAAATATTCAGCTCTCAGATGTATAATAAAATTATTTTAGCTGTTTGAAGGCATGAAGTTTACAGCCGTAATCGTCACTTTGAACATTTTGCGATCCACTTTAAGTTTCTGAATAAAAAAAATAAGCTTGCATTTTTCTTTGCTAGCGCATACAAATCAATATTTCTTCTAAGCAAAACTGAGCTTATTCACGAGGAGTTAAACTTTTTGAAAATCTTTCATGCGATAATTTAGATCGAATTCCTCAAAGAATCCGAGGAGTATCGCTACTACACGGAGGACGAGAGAGTGCAAGTTCTGTCACTTCGTTACAAGGACACTTCCTATGCATTCAATGTATTTCTTCCACGAAAACGGTGATTATATTCTACATAGATGTGCAATACAGTGACAACTTTTTTGATTGAAATGAGTAATTTTAGATTTGCACTCGAGGAAGTGAAACGCCACCTAGACGGAGAAATGGTTCAAAAGCTATTGTCCAAACTTAAGCGGACATACGTAACGGTAACTGCTTTTCCACAAATTATTTGAATACAGTGAGTATACGGGATATCCCAAAACTGCAATTATCCTGCACACTCTCATCATTCCTTGCTTATCACGTCAATAAGGCATTAGAATTATCAAATAGGTTGACTGAGTCAGATCTTCATAAAAACTTTGTTCTGGCTCTCGAAATTTCAGCATAAAAAGATAAATGACTCCTCTTTATTATTGTAGGGTTCGGTAGGTATTTCAGTAATTCAGCTAAAATCAAATTACTGCTATTGGAGTCTTTTGAAAATTATGAAAACTTATGCATCAGGGCTACCAAGCAATTAAAGACAAACTAATTTTATTTTTTGAGTTTGTATAGATATGATCCCTAAAAGGTTGCTTTAAACTTGCAGAATTTGTGAACTTACAGCTACGGTGTACATAACTTAAATTTTTTCGAGATTAGGTCGAGGTAGCATCCGCAACTGGCTCAGTTGC